GGCAGCACGCAGCTGGACGAGTTCAACGACGTCACGGCGGCGCTGGGCGCGTGACGCCGCGCCACGGCCATCCGCCACGGCGGCGGCGCCTACATCCCCAAGCGGCCGGTGCGCGCGCCGGCGCCGGCGCTGGGCGGCGCGCGCGAGTGGCGCTCGCTGGCCGAGCTGGAGGCGGCGGCCACGGACATGGACGCGCTGCGCACGCAGTCCTTGCTGGTGGTGGCGCGCGTGCTGGGCCCCGACCACAAGGACACGGTGTTCCGCCTCATGTACCGCGGCGCCTCGTACGCCGACGCCTTCCGCTACCAGCGCTGCATCGACCTGTGGAGCTGGGCGCTGCAGCTGCGCATCGAGAAGGACTCGCTGCTGTCGTCGGGTGAGTACTGCGAGTGCCTCCGAGTAGATTTGATTGTATAATGTCTAGATGGAGTGTCAATTCACGAAAAGCGGCCCAAAAATTTGCAGTAAACTTCACTGCAATGCACTTTCCCGTCAAGTAGTACCAATCGTGTCGTTTGTAAACAAAAAAATCCACAACAATAATGGCCACATGCTCCATAAAGTTGTGCTAAAATTATAGTAGGCAGAAGTGTACATTACGGCACTTATTGCCACTAAACAATGTAACACCCACTTTTCACTATTTATATTATGAGGCCCATGGATAGATAGGGGGTGAGCCTATTGCCATATACCGGGCACGATTCCAGATACCATGCTACTACTGAGAATTAAAAAAAACTGCAATACAGTACGCGACCGTGGTGTCACCTCGTGTCCCATGTTTAGTGCGATGTGATCCACTACATGTGTTGCTCTAGCAACAATATGGCCGACGAATGCTGCGAGTGAATTATGAGTAGACAGACGATGTGGTTTAACAAGAGATCCTCGCTGATTTCCAACATGTTTAGGAACGTGATGATGTCATGTCGCGTGCAAAGTGTTATTTATTAGATACGAGGTGATTAGATGCGCTTTTGGTGCTCTACAAAAAATTTTAGTAAGTCCTAATAAATTGTTTGAAATGGAGTTTCATTGAAAAATATTTTTGTGGGTTCTCCCTACAGTATTTCTTAAATTCCTTTTTATTCCAATTAAATTCTTATTACTTTATACTATTTTTGAATCCTTACTAAGTGCCGCCAACTTTGATGGAAAAGGACATTGACTAAAATTGGTGCCTTTCTTTTTTCTAGCGTTAACCAATGATTTATGAAAAATATTATCTAGAATGACATTACCAACGATTTTGTCTATGGCCTCATATATCAAAATCTCAGTCCAAACTGAGTTATGAGCATTGAAAGGAGTTGGAGTCGAACATTTTATATTGTTATTTTTATTCAAATTATTCATATTTTTATCATAATTCCTGACTTTACATTACGCGCCACTGTACGCCTGGCACAGGTACACCATATCACACCATAATATGGATGATATGCCAGGCACTAATTTTTGTCAGCTATTTTCTCTCAGTCGATAACTTGTGGGATACTCTATGCCTAATCGTATGAGAGCTGTGGTAGATGCCCGTGGCGACAACACTCGTTATTAAATTAAATCTTTTGATAAAACAAGTTTTTTATAAAAAAATCAATTGCCTTTAACAAGGCGCATATCCGATTTGTAAGGCGTAGCTCCATGTCGTATGGTATTCTGAATTCAAATTTAAAACAAAGACCGAAAAAGATGAAATAATGTATCAGGTTTAAAATGCATCAACAGTTTTTGTACAATCTTGCAATCATATTTCGGTAGGGGCCATCGAAACCTAAACTCTAAGGTGGGCCAATAGATGTGTTCAGAAGTGTAGTTACTAGTCGGGAGAAGTTGATAGAAAACTTTGGCTTTTATGGTTTACTAGCGACCCGCCCCGGCTTCGCACGGGTGCAATATGCATGTATTATACATATAAACCTTCCTTAAGAATCACTCTATCTATTAAAAAAAACCGCATCAAAATCCGTTGCGTAGTTTTAAAGATCTAAGCATACATACGGACATACAGCGAAAGCGACTTTGTTTTATACTATGTATTGATACGGCTTATGGCCTATGACAAATTTTCATGATCAATTTCCTCTCAGTTGAAAACCCGCAAAATACTTTACTGAGCCCTATCAGGAAGTGCAATGTTTGTCAGCTGCGGCGTCGGTAGCGGATTGACTAGCGGCAGTCGTCAAAACACGAAAAAACATTTTTCCGTCTACTTCTCCCGACTCACTCCCGATTAGTAATTAATCTAACTACAGTTAATACTTTAATCTACAGCTAGCATAAGATTTTGTACAAAAATATCGTCATTCGGTCACAAAGTAATGGATTATATTTCGACTGATCACATTATATGACAAAAGTATGCGCTCGTCTAACGTATAGTCTATCAATTTACAAAGTCAACGGTTTCTTTTCTTCAAAAGATTATGCTAATTATAAAATAGATGAGTCTCCCACCAGGAGTCAACGGCAAAAAAATAGTTTATTAGATGTTTGGACGGCTACCACTACTCGACCCACCACTGGTACACACGGCTACACATCGATCTTTACATAACCAGTATAAACTGAACGTTACATGTGCGGAAAGATGATGCGACGCGATACCAGGATAAACTGGTTTTGTATAGATTGATGTGTGGCCGGGTGTACCACAGCTGACACTCATGAAGCTTCATGACACAACTTCTAGAGGTAGAAGCGTCCCACAAGTTATCAACTGAGAGAAAATAGCTAATAAAAATTAGTGCCTGGCAATATGGGTATAATGTGGTGTGATATGATGTTCCTATGCCCGGTGTACAGTGGCGCGCAATTTGTAGTTAAGAATTTTGACAAAAATAATTATGAAAAATTTTAATAAAAAAAACAGTAAAACGTTTGACTCCAGTCAGTCAGTCCCGACTGAGAGTTCCTTATATGAGTCCATAGACAATTTCGTTGGTAATGTCATTCTAGATAATATTTTTCATAAATCATCGACTGCCGCCAGAAAAAAGAAAGGCACCAATTTTAGTCATGTCCTTTGGTCATTGTCATTAGCCACTACTAGTACAGCAAAATTGTTTTTCAGTACAGTCACGTAAAGTAAGATAGAAAGTTTATTAATTAATTTGTAATTCATAGAGAACTTACAGCTTATAAAAATGGATAAAAATAACAATAGGCGTAGGTAACAATGAGCCAATCACAAGTCCTCACCTTTAGGAAAATCATTGATTCATCAAAAAATTATATTCTTTTCCAAACCATAGCAGTTCGCCCAGAATTTATGATTCCTTTAATACTGAAGCACTATTCAGGATGACGTAAGCTGTACGGTCTTCAACTGTACATGCTTTTTGATGACACTGCAGTCGGTACGACTGCAGTGTCATTTTTACCTAATTATAAATACACGGTTGCTACACACACCGACCAGTGTGCATTTTACAACAATACCACAAACTACTTAAGAGAAAGGAATAGTCAATATCGACGAACTAGTGTAACTATCAGTAATACAACTTTACTTCTTCAACTACAACTTCGTGTTCTTTTCTCTTTACACTCCAACAATTAACTACAATCTGCAAGTGTACGAACCGTACATTTTATGGTCCTTCGAGCCGGATATCTCTGTGTGTGGTATATCTATATACGATAGCGAATCGGTTCAGCTGGTCTCCCAGAAGCGGGTCGCCCCAGTTGTATTGAGAAAAATACAGATGGCAAAATAAAGAATTGTAGCAACAAGAGTCAAAAGACTAGCACATGGTGTACTTTTTCCTGGATGACACAAGTCATTATACAACATGTAATGTAATTAACGCACACCCTCAAACACCTCAATTAGAATATGTTATAATCATAATACATACTTACACTAAATTTTTAATTTTACATGTATATGCATCCTTACTGGTCTTGTCATAAGGTTTATTTTTCTTTATTTTGTATTGAATGATAGAATTTGTATGAATACAAATAAAACAGCGATTTTAAAAGTCTTATTGCTTTGACTTATGGTCCATTTCGATTTGTTTTAATAATACAGGGCTAATATGACAATAATTTCCGTAGTTTTTTTGTGTGGGATAAGAAATTACCTATACTAAAAATTATATAAATCGATGCAGTTAACGATTCTGAACAAAGTATTTTCAGGCTGTGCGTTATTTAAGTTACATGTTGTATATAATTTAAAAAGTATATGACTTGGAATTTTTGTGCTGATTGTTGGAATCATGCCGATCATCTTGTGCCATTTGGTCGTCGATTTCAGGGACTGTATTTTTTTATAGAAAGGAAACAATAATATTTTATAAATAGGTTTACTAGAAATAATGTTAAAAATGTCTTAATATGAATATTTTGTTATTGTTTTCATATGGAAAATAAATTATTATTTATATGACATAATATAAATATCAACGCAGGGTCGAATAAACAGACGGCTACGATTTTATTTTTACTTATAAATAAATGATGTGGTACTGAAATATTGATGGCTGTCGTAGCTGGTAGTATGTTTGGGCCGCGTAAACCACAAAAAGCAGGCAGTATGTAGACAAGACGGGTGCGTCCCACAGACACGTGCCACACGGCGTGCGCGCTGACGCGGCTGATGCTGGACGCGGCCAGCGGGCGCCTGGAGCGCGCGCGCGGGCTGCCGGCGCTGGGCGACGTGCTGCGCGTGTTCCGGCTGCTGGCCGACGAGCTGCCGGCCTGCCGCCGCCTGCTGCGCGCGCGGCCCGTGTTCAAGGCGCAGGCCGACACCTTCGACCGCGCGCTGCGCTGCGTGACGCACGTGCTGTACCTGCTGCAGGCGCGCGCCGCGACCGCGGCCGAGCGGCGCGGCGTGGCGGCCGGCGTGCGCGCGCTGCTGGCGGCCGACGTGCGCTCGGCCAGCACGGGCGACACGCTGCTGCACCTGTGCGTGTCGCGCCTCAACGTGATCCGCTCCACGTACTTCGCGGACGAGCTGGACGCGGCGCCCGTGTTCCCGCACGCCGGCGTGGTGCGCCTGCTGCTGGCGTGCGGCGCCGACGTGCGCGTGCGCAACGAGGCGCGCTCCACGGCGCTGCACGTGGCCGCCATCCCCTACAACTTCAGCACGGAGCTGGTGGCCGTGCTGCTGGCGGGCGGCGCGCACCTGGACCAGCCCAACAAGTTCGGCGACTCGCCGGCCGAGCTGGTGGCGCTCAACCGCGGCTCGCGCGTGCGCGTGCTGCAGCACGTGACGCTGGCGTGCCTGGCGGCGCGCGCGCTGCTGCGGGCGCGCCGCCCGCTGCCGCCGCACGCGCTGCCCAAGACGCTGCTGGACTTCCTGGACCTGCACCGCGCCTAGCGGCCTACTGGACGATTGTGTTACTACGATATAATATGTAATGTGATTCATTTAATTTAGAGTGATAAAAATTCGTATCGAAAATTCCGAGACTTTTATTTTCCTCTGTCAGTTCGCTATTTACAAAGATGTTGCGAAATTCACGACACGATGTCGACTCCGCGCTAGTGCAGCAGTCTACTACCAGTCCTTCACGCGCGCGCGGCGGCGGCGCCGGTGCGGCCGATGTTGCGGCGGTGCTTGTCGACGACGTAGATGCGGCCGCCCATGCCGGCGTGCGTGAAGGACTGGTAGTAGACGCGGTCGGGCCACGTGGTGTTGGGCGCCACCAGCAGCTCGGCGGGCGCGCCGGCCGCGCACTGCCACTGCAGCGAGCGGTTGAAGGCGCGGAAGGTGCCGTAGTCGTCGTCGCGGCGCCGGTCCGCGCCCGCCGCGTGCCGCGCCATGCACAGCGGGCCCGCTGCAACACATTGCGCACTGTACGTCCCTGCGCTGGGCGCCAGGCCGCCCGGGCGAGCTACGTCCCTGCGCTGGGCGCCAGGCCGCCCGGGCGAGCTACGTCCCTGCGCTGGGCGCCAGGCCGGCGGCGGGCGAGCTAGCTACCTGCGGTGGGCGCCAGACGGCCGCGGCGCGTGTAGTGGACGCCGGCCAGGACGCGCGCCTGGCGCTGCGCGAGCTCGCTGAGTCGCTCGAGGCCGCCGAGTGGCTCGGCCGTCACTATGAGCGGGTGGTACTCCGTGGCCGAGTGCGGATCGTTACCGCCGTACACCTGCGGTCAATGACAGCCGTGCTCGTACAGACTGGATTCAAAGTGCAATGAAAACATTTACACACTTTTGTTATTGAAAGAAGACGTACCTTGAAGACATATTGCAGGCCGCGGCGCAGCTGCAAGTCGGGGGCCAGCTGGCCGTTGACGTACCAGGCGAGGGGCGGCGAGTGCCGCAGGGGCCGGCCGGCCAGGCCCCGCGCGCCGCCGGCGGGCCCCAGCCGGAACGTGAACACGCGCAGCGCCGGGTCGAACAGCTCCGCCACCTCCCACGGCGGCGGCGCCGACCGGGACCCACTGCATCCACCGATTTATACTCATTGCTTCATATAACATTTCAAGTATCAAGCTGAATGTAAACTGACCAATACATGCTGACCATTTAGAAAGAAAGATACAATTTCACCTATCTAATCGCAAAATAAGTATCAGTTTACATTTATCAGACTGGATGTATAAATAGATACTGACACGGTGAAGGGCACGCAGTCGTTGTCGGGCGGGTCCTGCGTGAGCCGCAGGGACACGTCGTGTCGCGGGTACAGGCGGTGGAAGGCGGGCTCCCGGGCCGCGTCCAGGCGGCCCAGCGCCCAGACCACGTACACCGGGCGGTCCAGCGCCCAGTCGCGGTCCATGGGCTCGGCCGCGGCCAGCGTGCGGCGGTACGAGATGACGGTGAGGCCGTCCTCGCGGCGCGCGCCGAACACCTGGTTGGAGTCCAGCCCGCCCAGCACGGCGTCGGCGCACACGCCGCGCCACGCGCCCAGCACCTGCACGCAGGGCGCCGCCGCCGTCACGTTGTAGTCCGTCGCCAGCCCGCGCTGCTGCGCCGCGTCGTACTGCAGCACGGCCACGTCGGCGCCCAGCATGCGCGAGGCGCTGTCGCTGCCGGAGATGCCGAAGGCTACGTACTCGTCCTCGTCCATGCGCGCCGCCACCTCCAGCGTGAGCTGGTTGCCGAAGACCTCCCAGGACACCTGCAGGTCGCGGTGCAGCTGGCGGCAGTGCGGCAGGCGCGCGCGCGGCGCGGCGGGCCGGCGCGGCGCGGGCGGCAC